GACGGGGTGGAAAATGGGAGGCTGGGGTTCCCCCTGCCCCGTTTTTGGGAGCTGCCGTCGCCGTCGCTGGTGGCTGACGTTCCTCCACGGTGTCCCTCCCGCAGCCGGACCTGCGCGTGCCAAGGCAAGGACCCCAACACCTGTGGCGCTTCCTTCTCCTTCGGCTGCTCTTGGAGCATGTATTTTAATGGCTGCAAATACGCCCGGAGCAAAACTCCCCGCAAGTTCAGACTGGTGGGAGACAATCCCAAAGAGGTGGGTGACACGGGCAGAGCGGGGCAGCGCCGGTGGGGCCGCGGGTTCAGACCTCCTTCTACCCCCAGCTCCAAATTTTGCAGGAAGGGGAAGCCTGAAAATAGGATTACTTGTGGGATTTTTGATGAGTTAGGGAGACGGGGGAAAGAAAGCCAGTCTGGTGAAACTGGAGGCAGGTTCGCCTTGACATCCCAGAGCCAGGACTGGTGGTGTGACGGCAAGTGCCGTACGGGATGGCACAAGTGGAGTCTCTCTGGAAACCCCAGGGAAGGTGCTGGAGGGCTCATGGGTCGAGCAGGTGAAAGCACAACAGACACTGAGGCTGGAGGTTTGAATGGCCAAAACCTCACCAGGAATTTAACCCACGTGCTTCACGCGGTGACAGACGTAGTGGGAAGGGTCAGGGTCTGCCCCGAATTGGATCCCCACTGCTGAAAGCCCTGGGTGACATCGTCCTCTCTTCCCTCCCGCAGGAAGAGCTGCTCCGGAAAAGCTTTCAGGACTTGGCCACCGAGGTTGCTCCACTTTACAAGAGGCTGGCGCCACAAGCCTACCATTTAACCCACGTGCTTCACGCGGTGACAGACGTAGTGGGAAGGGTCAGGGTCTGCCCCGAATTGGATCCCCACTGCTGAAAGCCCTGGGTGACATCGTCCTCTCTTCCCTCCCGCAGGAAGAGCTGCTCCGGAAAAGCTTTCAGGACTTGGCCACCGAGGTTGCTCCACTTTACAAGAGGCTGGCGCCACAAGCCTACCAAAACCAGGTACCGG